AGGATGGAGGCTGCACATCCTGTTTGTTTATACCCTTCTTCCCCTTTCTGATCACTGCTAGATTTTCTCAAAGTCCGATTTGAGGGAATAATACACCAGAAAGCCCCTTTACTTACTTTATCTGGCCCTTCCACCCTTCTCCATGGTGGTCCAGACAAGACAGGTATTAAGGACCATAGAGTTTCTTGATAAATGACTGCAGGCCTGCAACTGAATGTGACCAGTCTCCTCAGAATGCAGATCATAGACTTCTGCCCTACATTTCAGTTTTATATATAGGACCTAATTATAACTCATTTACATGTTAAATCTTCACCCCAAAGTGATCATGTGACATATGTTACATACATGTAAACTTAATACACATGTGCTTGGGTCTCCTTCATGAATATTCATAGCTCCTCCTATAACCTGTTAAATAAGTATATTTGGCCCACCCATTCCTCAAAAATTCCTGTTTTATCCCTCCCTCCTTCCCTCCAACTCCCTGTCTCTCAGCAAACCAAGGCTACCCTTCCCAGACTGTCAGAATGGCCACCTTGCAGGCTGCAATACTTTGAGAAATAAAGCTCTCCTTCGCAAATGTATAAACCTTCTCATTCTTCAGTTGACAGAGGCCAAGAAGAGTCTAGATAAACAAGCCTTGCTGGGTTTCTCCACTCAGTTTATTAACATTACATCATACCCTTTTTATCCAATCAAATTTCTACAAGGTTGTCCATATGTTGTTGAACCTAAGCATAAAAGTGGACAATTTTTTCTTGTATCTTTGTGTTTTCATTCTAAAGGCTCCCTTGAACACGTTAATAAATTTGTGTAACTTTTCTACAGTTAATCCGCCTTTCACAAGCTAATCTTTCAGCAAAGCTTCAGAGCTTGCCTTGGCTCCTATAAAATAATAAACACTTTAACTTTTTATTCTTTTTAGACTTCAAAGTAATTGACCTGATGCTCTTATCTGAGTCTTTCTTGGAGTTTATGTAGCTTCCAGGAATGGCAAATTATTTTCTGGACTTTCTTCTTTTCATGAAATGGCATTGTGCTTCCACAGTGATTTCTCTTCCCCTTTTTTTAAACACCAGAATTAGCAGTTGTAGATGCTGTCCCTCAAAAACATATGATAGAGAGAAAAATACTTATATAATACTTCTCTTATTTTTTTTTTTTTTTTCATTTTTTGGTCTTGCTCTGTTGCCCAGACTGGGGTGCAGTGTCACAATTATGACACTGGAGCCTCAAATTCCTAGCCTCAAACAATCCTCCTACCCCAGCCTCCTGGGTCACTGGCATTATAGGCCTAAGCCACTGTGCCTGGCTAAAAGAATTTCGAATACTGTTCACTTACTGATATTTTGCCATGGAAAAATTCAAACATCAATAATTTTGCTAGTTACCCACCTCTTCTTGCCTCAATGAGTAATGGTTTAACAAGCCCCCTTAGTTCCCTAACACAACTGTATAGACATGTAGATGTAGATATAAATATAGATACTTATTGTAGATTAAGTCCAGATGCTATAACTGGGTTCATAGAAGTATATTGAATATCCTCATTGTTTCAAGGCGTATGCTGTCAAGATTTGGTAAAGAATCAAGAAACAGAGAAGAGAAATGGAGAATCCTGGAACAATGCTATTTATAAAGAATAACACAAGCCACGGCCAGATGCGGTGGCTCACGCTTGTAATGCCAGCACTTTGGGAGGCCAAGGCAGGTGGATCACCTGAGGTCAGAAGTTCGAGATCAGCCTGGCCAACATGGTGAAACCCCGTCTCTACTAAAAATACCAAAATTAGCTGGGTGTGGTGGCTGGTGCCTGTAATCCCAGCTACTCAGGAGGCTGAGGCAGGAGAATCGCTGGAACCTGAGAGGCAGAGGTTGCAGTAAGCTAAAACTGCAGCACTGCCCTGCAGCCTGGGTGACAGAGCGAGGCGCTGCCTCAAAAAATAAGAATAAAATAAAAAGGAATAATATAAGCTGCATATGTAATGTTGACTTTTCCAGTAAGCACACTTTAAAAATTAATAAACTGGTAAAAGAATTTTAACAATTATTATATTTAACCCAAAATACAAAATCATTATTTCAAAATATAGTCAATATAAAAACATTATTAATGCAATATTTCACATTCTTTTTTAAATCTTAAGTCTTCTTAATATGAGGGACATCCTATTCAATTTGGTATTAAATGTTTGTTGGAAGTAAATGGAATTTCATTGTGATTTTATAAATTTCAATGCTGTAGAATTAAATTCATATATGTGATTGTTCAAAACATATCTAACATTTTCCAATAACTGGAGTATCAGCTTTTGAAATAAAATAATGAAAAATAAGTAAAATAAAAATTCAGGCCTGGCACGGTGACTCATGGCTGTAATCCCAGCACTTTGGGAGGCCGAGGCGGACAGGTTACTTAAGGTCAGGAGATCCAGACCAGCCGAGCCAACATGGTGAAACCCCATTTCCACTAAAAATACCTCCCCACCCGCCCCCCCTCATACATAAGCTGGGCGTGGTGACCAGCACCTCTAATTCCAGCTACTATGGAGGCTGAGGCAGGAGAATCGCTTAAACTCAGGAGGTGGAGGTAATAGTGTGCTGAGATAATGCCACTGCACTCCATCCTGAGTGACAGAGCAAGACTCCTCAAAAAAAAGAAAGTCAGTCCTCAGCAGCAACAGCCACATTTCAAATGCTCAGTAGCCACAACTGTTTTCTGACTGTTTTATCACAAAACACAGATCCTACAGGAAATTGTGTTCAGGTATGGAGATAATGATGGAAATTACTGATTAATACAAGTGAGCTGGTAAGTTCTTATGTAATCAGGTAAACTTTGCACTGAGTTCTAAAATAAAGCTTTACACATATTTAGAGATGAGGATTATGAAAGGAACTGAAGGTAGCTTCAGATGGCAAAACACCGGATTGACAGATTTAAGAACACTGGGGAGGAAATCAAACTGTGGGGCATAAAGATGGAATTTCCTTAATGGTTCTCACTGACTGTGTTTTGAACCTTTAACCTAAAGTGTATCTTTTGATTTTGGAAACATTTTTTAGTTGTAGATATTAAAATTCTCATAATAGAAATGAAAAAAGTAAAATGAAAATGAGAAAACAGAAGATAATATCAATAAACAGGTCTTGGACCTCAGAAGATGACATGTAGGGAGTGTGGAGAGGAAAAGCATAGAGAGGGCATAGGTCTCATTAACAAACAGCCCAGCCCACAGATACGTGATCATATTGTACAAAAGGATTTCAGTTCTTTACTTGCTTCTTATAAAACCATTTTGCCAACATATCTAACCGTTTTACCATGATTTAAAGTGTACAGAAGTTTCTTTTTCTGAAAAGGAGAGAAACAAGGGACTCATATATATTTCAGATGTGAGACTGAAACGCGTGACAACGTGTAACTTCAGTCAAGACTTGCCCATGAGTCCTAAGATAATTCAAATTTGCAAAATAGACACTAACTTGAAAGGTGCAATTGTATCAATCCTGTGGTTAGCAGAATTTTGATGAATGCCCTAAAATAGGGCAGGTTTAACATAATTCAAGGAATGAACAGGAATGCACAAAACATTCTTTGTCTCCTCCCCCCTCCAGCTTGCAGACATCCGCAGGCATTTGCGGGCAGCGAGAAATTTGGTTTGGCCGTCTCCCCTCCCTGGAGGACGGGGGCTCCAGCATATTCATGATGTCAATCTCCTCGGACTACATGCCACTGTCATTGCGGATCTGCTACAACACTTTACAAAATAGCTTTCCAATAAGAAAGAAAACCTAATAGGAAAGAAAAACAAAAAGAAACTAGACCTTGCAACAGTCGCGCACGCCCACTATCCCTTTCTGAAATATAGTACGGTTGCACAAACGCGAACTTGTAAATCTAAATTCTGCCCGAACCAAAGTAGCCAATAGATTAAAAGTATGTAAATTAGGAATTCCCAAACTGCTCTTTTTATTGGCTAGGAAAAGAACACCTTACAGGGAACCCGATAGGTTGATTTAAAACACTGTGTTAGGCTATAATGTCATTCCTTAAGACTCTTTTCCAGTAAACATTTGTTACATTTTCAAAGTAATTGGGAGCTGTTGAGTTTGGAAGCGAAAACCAAGTTAAGAAGTCCTGTTATTTGGGTGAGTCCAGTCCTATAAAAGTTCTGTTGGACGTGTCTTAAATTGTTCAGGGCACCTCAGTTCTCTCCCGCAGGGATCTAGAGAAACTGCGCCATTGTTGTCTTATAAAGAAACAACCTTCTGAGACTCTCTTCGCCGCCATCTTTTTCAAGATTCTATACTGAAAATACTTTTTTTGACGGCTCTTGCCATTATGTCTGGACATTTTAATTTCAACAAAACAAAATAATACCGTTAAATGATTTGAGTCAAACCTGATATTACAGAGGTAGGGATTCTAAGATGTTAGAATTTTACTCTAACACAAATGAAACAAAAAGTTCCTTATGTTTAAACAGTGTATCTCAGAAAACCTTGTTTGAATGAATTAGCTATACTCCATAATGAAACGAGGACTCATTGAGATACTTAGACAACGGATTTTAAATGAGTGGATAGGGAAGGGGAAAACTTAAGGAAAATTAAGCAGAATAAAGCAGCGGAGATTTTTGAAAAAAAATTCTAAAGCATTTTCTAATTTAAACACATTCGATTTTTCATAGCTAAACAGGATAAAAGGTCAGTCATTTAAGTTAAATGATAAATGTCTTTGCAGGTCATGCAGTATGCAAAACATCAAAGATACCTGTAACAAAAAACAACTTGTTTAGAGGAGCCAGTTCTCTATCCAAATTTACCAATCAGAATCTTGCACTGAAAAAATAAACCAATCGTGAATCGCTCCGAGCACTTCCGGAATTTAGCAACCGATCACTAACAGGGATTGTCCACAATCCAATCAGAGTGATTCTGTTCCTATATAAATAGAGGGGTAAACCAATTTTCCTAACCCACTTACTTTTCAGGTCAGGCATGGCGCGTACTAAGCAGACCGCTCGTAAATCCACAGGCGGTAAAGCACCGCGCAAGCAGCTGGCCACTAAAGCAGCTCGCAAAAGCGCTCCAGCCACGGGTGGTGTGAAGAAGCCTCATCGCTACCGCCCTGGTACCGTGGCTTTGCGCGAGATTCGTCGCTACCAGAAGTCCACCGAGCTTCTTATCCGGAAGCTGCCGTTTCAGCGCCTGGTGCGAGAAATCGCTCAGGACTTCAAGACCGACCTGCGCTTTCAGAGTTCCGCTGTGATGGCGCTGCAGGAGGCCTGCGAGGCTTACTTGGTGGGGCTTTTTGAGGACACCAACCTGTGCGCTATCCATGCCAAACGCGTCACCATCATGCCTAAGGACATCCAGCTTGCCCGCCGCATTCGTGGCGAGAGAGCGTAAATCGTTTTGAGTGCCAACCTTCAACCCAAAGGCTCTTTTCAGAGCCAATCACTTTCTCCATGAAAAAAGCTGTAATCCTTCAAGACACATTAGACCACGAAACTGCACTGATCGAAACAGACTTCTGAAATAATGGCATTTAGCCCCCTCAATGTAATGCTTAATTTAAAATTCCAAATTCAAGCGCTTCCTCAGGTTTTGCCTGGGGCTCCGCCTCCCTCCCCGGTTTTCCATTGGTTTAGCAGGCTTTGTTTTGCTGTTCAGGCCCTCTGCTTATTTCTTGTACTTTGCTCTCCTTTTCTAACTCCTAGCCACTTAACTGGCCCCCGCTTAACCCATTCTCTTGTTTTCTGGCTCTTAAGGCTCCTCCAAGTGGTGGCCGGTATTACGAGGTCTTAACTGCATAGGCTTTCAACTCCTTGGATTTGCTTTTCCCGGATGTCTATTTGAACTTGCCCGAGGGGCCAGCGCTTTTGGTCTGCATCAGGCTGCCTTACTTCACTAGTGTTTTGAGACCCAGCTACTTGCCGGCGACGGTCGGCGCCTTGGGTGCGGTCAAGGTTACCCTCTCTGTGCGCCTGATACTGGTCTGAGGCTAAGGTTATTAGCTGGAACACCTAAATCCGTGGCATTAACACAACTCTTGCAGACTTGAAAGCCTTGCTTAGGTTCTAAACTACAGGAGTCAAAGCAACGAAGGTGCAGATGGGTGTGTCTGACATACCTGAGTGAGAAAGGAAAATGCAAAAATCATGAGCCTTTTCAACTTTCTAGCTAATATCTTTTGTTTTCTTTTTTTTTTTTTTTTTTTTTTTTTTTTTGAGACGGAGTTTCTTGTTGCCCAGGTTGGAGTGCATTGGCGCGATCTCGGCTCACCGCAGCCTCCTCCTCCCGGATTCAAGCGTTCGGAGTAGCTGGGATTACAGCCTTCGGAGTAGCTGGGATTACAGGCATAAACCACCGCGCCCGGCCTTCCAGCTGATATCTTAAAAGAACTTTTCAACTTTAGTAAATACCCTGTTTTAATGAAATCTCATTGAAAGTACCCCATATTTATCATCAAATGAAAATCCTTTGACGACTTCCAAGTTCTTACAGAAAAATATTCTGCCTTTCCATACAAAGGTACAGCTTCGAAACTGGTAGATGAAGGAGGGAAGGAAAATAAGGAATTCTGTTCCGAAATCATACAGGCTGTTATTTGGAAATGCAGAAGGGTGTATGTACTATATGGGATACTACGTGCTATTTGGAAAAATTTTTTATATTTAAACATTTCAGAAAATTCCTCAGTTTTGAAATGGGGTGGAGTAGTTTCAACTGTCATTGAGAAATTTCTATTAACTTTTTTTAATGTGCTGTTTTCCCTCAAGTTGCACTAAGGAAAGAGGTTAGTCATGTGGTAGTGACAAAGTTGTAAATAGCTATGCAGGCCAAGGTAGCCATAGTAAGAAGTCCTGGAGATTTATGGAAGAAATTTTTGTTCATGGAAGCCCGTCAGACATAAAGACGTGGGTCCTGTGAATTACAGATTCAGTGTATGAGGAAAACAGTATAACTATCCATAATTAAGGTAACTGCTGTCAGATATTTGTACCATACTGAACATCATATTATGCTGGATAAAAGCATTCTCTATTTAAATGTTGTTTCCTGTATCCTGTACTTTCTTTAAGATTCTACCTCAGCAAGTTTTAACCTGTATTTCTGTTACAGCTGTTGGACTTCAATACATGAGGACTTGGACTTGGTGGGCACAGAATGCATCTTCTTATATCATTAAATCCACCAGAACACCTAGCATGGTCATTTGCCTAAAACAAAGCCTCTGGAAATTTAGTCAAGTTGAGATTTAAAATAAAAGATTACTGAACAGAATTTACCATTGAGTGAATTCTTATTTACAAAAATAAAAGATTAGATAAAGTTTTTATAATTTTAATATATAGTTTTTCTAAATAGGAAAAATCCACACTTATTGAGTGTCCGCAAGGGGCCAGAAGTCATGCAGTATTTTATGAAGTCTCCAAAAATGTAAGTACAATAGTTATCTATTATCTAAAACAAATTTAAACTGAAACTAAGAAAATTTCAGATAGTGCTGGAGCCAAAACTTTCCCCACCAGGCATTACTGTTTTAAATAAAAAGCCTCAGCAGAATCCTCATCACTTACTCCTGAGGGCTTTATCACCAGGAATAGTTACTAACATGTTTAAATTTTTCATATACAATAAAATAAATGGATTTTTTTTTTCTTTTTTTTCTTGAGACGGAGTCTCGCTCTGTTGCCCAGACTGGAGTGCAATGGCATGATCTCCGCTCACTGCAAGCTTCGCCTCCTAAGTTCACACCATTCTCCTGCCTCAGCCTCCCGAGTAGCTGGGACCACAGGCGCTCGCTGCCACGCCCAGCTAATTTTTTTTGTATTTTTAGTAGAGACGGGGTTTCACCATGTTAGCCAGGATGGTCTCGATCTCCTGACCTAGTGATCCGCCCGCCTTGGCCTCCCAAAGTGCTGGAATTACAGGCGTGAGCCACCGCGCCCGGCATAAATGGATGTTTTAAAATGTACAGGGTCTTAGGCCAGGCAGGGTGGCTCACACCTGTAATCCTAGCACTTTGGGAGGCCAAGGCAGGCAAATGACCTAAGGTCAGGAGTTCAAGACCAGCTTGGCCAACATGGCTAAACCCAGTCTCTACTAAAAAAATACAAAAATTAGCCAGGCGTAGTGGCACGTGCCTGTAATCCCAGTTACTTGGGAGGCTGAGGCAAGGAGAATCACTTAAACCTAGGAGGCAGGGGCTGCAGTGAACCAAGACTACGCCACTCCACTCTAGGCTGGGTGACAAAGCAACATTCCATCTTAAAAAAATTAATAACACCAGCCTGGCCAACATGGTGAAACACCATCTCTACTAAAAATACAAAAATTAGCTGGGTGTGGTGGCAGACATCTGTAATCCCAGCTACTCAGGAGGCTGAGGCAGAAGAATCTTTGAACCTAGGAGGCAGAGGTTGCAGTGAGCTGAGATTACACACCACCACACTCCAGCCTGGGCAACAGGGCGAGACTCCATCTCAAAAAATAATAATAATAATAATAAAATGAAATGTACAGGATCTTATATGATTGTGAAGTTACACTATAATTAGTACTGCAAATTTTACAGAAATGAAACTCATATACATATAGTAAAATATGATGTTAACATTCACAAATTTTAGCCTTACTGTGTACTATTCAGATAATAGCCTTGATTTAACCACATATACACAAGAAACTTTCTTCAAAGGCATACACTGAGAAAGTAGTAAATAATACTAGATGTTTTTAAAATAAATTGTGATTTTATTTGGGGAAGATCTCAAATCTTACTCATGTGTCAGATCATATTTTCTATGTACTTGTTGGCACACTATAGTGTGTATCCATTTCACAGTTACATAGTTGCCTGCAAGTACTTATAATTAAAATAAAATAAGTATGTAATCTCTGAATAACCAGTAGTTTCTTCATATTATAAAGATAATAGCTAAAACTCAAGACAATTCAGAAATCCCATTTTATTATTTCTCCATACCCTCCCTACTCGACCTGCCAACAGTAAATATTGATATGTAACATTTGGGAATTTGAAAGGCAAACTTGAAATATTTTTTTTCATTTTTGTTTTGTAGTTGCCACCACTAAAAATTGCATATATATATAAAATGGTATACTTCCGAAGATAAGGAAGATAGTCTTGTAAATCAGGCCATGGACACAAGAGTCATGAAAGGGGCAGAGAAATTTGTTACCCGTTTTCTCACACAGGAAAACAGAAAATGAAATCACTGAATTTGATGACTATCTGACAATAATGTAACCCATTTGATGGAATTTTTTAATTCAGACACACACACAAATACACATACACACACACACATGCCCCTAGAGTAGTGGAAAATGAGACAAATGCTCTATAGTTCAGTTTAGTTAATGGGAGTAAACAATAGATGCATTAAAATTTTTCTATTGATAATAATTGTTCTTAATTATTAAATGTCATGAAAGCACATTTTCAGAGATAAGTTTACGTTTTGAATTAGAGGGAGATGTAATTTGAGAAGGAATTGGAAGTATTATAAAGATTCTCACGGGGAATTGTTCCAGAACAAAGTTGTAAAATAATAACAATAATAATAAAATAAGAAGAAACAGAAAGGTTACATTGTTATTAGTGTCTGTGAGTGCGAGCAGACAGTATTATGAAAAGGGGCTAAGAGGCTACAGGGCTTTCCCATGAACCTATGAGAAGTCACTGACCTTTTTCATAAGGCATATTTGGTGTTTGTTTTTTAAAATGGGCCGGGCGTGGTGCTCACGCCTGTAATCCTAGCACTTTGAGCCGCTGAGGTGGATGAATCAGCTGAGGTCAGGAGTTTGAGACCAGCCTGAACAACATGGTGAAACCCCATCTCTACGAAAAATACAAAAACAAATTAGCCGGGTATGGTAGCGTGTGCCTGTAATCCCAGCTACCTGGAAACTGAGGCAAGAGAATCACTGGAACCAGGGAGGCAGAGGCTGCAGTGAGCTGAGATTGAGCCACTGCACTCCAGCCTGGGCAACAGAGCAAGACTCTGTCTCAAAAAATAAATAAGTAAATAAATAGTTAAGAGAAATGGGAGGCTAGAGAAATTAGGGAACTAGTTAGTAAGCATTGGAATCATCCTAGCTATGAGAGAATGAAGAGAGAATGTAGAAGGGAGAATATGTAAGAATTATTTAGGATTCTGTAAAAATCAACCTGATTTAGTGACTGCTTAACAGGGAAGATTGAGGCCTCCCCACAATACCATGAAAATCTGCTTCTTCAAGTTAAAGTATGACTTCAGGTTGATTCTAAAAATTACTTTTGTGTCAGACCTATGCTATACGCATAAGAACTCTCCAACAGCTAAGATAGTATGAAAATGCCCTTCACAACTTCCATGCTAAGACACTGTTAGTATTCTTTACCAATCTCAAGATATTCATTATAACTGCTACCAAAATTTTAATATATGGAGAAAGACTTAAACAAGTTCAGATTTCCTTGAAAACAAGTGCATGTCCTCTGTGGCAAATGAATATGAATATGAATTTATATAAATCACAGAAACTCTGGAAGATCATTGATTGAATAATTACATTTCATTGCTTCTGTTGCATACCAAACATATTGTGAAATGGATACTTCACAAAGGGCCAGAAATAGAAATACATAAATTCTGCTTCTTTCTCAATGAGCCTAAAAAGGAACTGGAAAATACCACTCCTTTTCCAGTTGATGTAACCGAATTGAAGCAGCGTAAGAACGATTCTAGGAATCAAGAAACTTGTTTTGAGACCTAGGTCCACCATTTAGTGACAGCAAATGGTCATTTCTTGCCATTTAACCTTTCTAAGCACCAAGTTTCTTAACAGTAAATCAAGCATTTTAGCTATACCTGATATAAATGCATTGTAACTACCCAAGTGAGGCAGTTAAATAAGTCCTTTGCAACAGTAAGGAACCAGAGGTATGTTATAGTCATTTGGACTGCTCTTGTGGAATACCACATTCCCCACCTAATTATCTTATTCCTTATCACTTTTCATCAAAAGCCTAAATCTTGTCATTCTGGGTACTAAAAACATCCCAGATCTCTTCTCCCCGTTAAGGATAGTAAAATAATACCCCAAAAGGAAGGCCTTAGAAGCAAAAGTGAGTGACCTACTGCTATTCTTTGGCCTCTCATCCTCCGCTGAGGCTACAAATAAAACTAGACTCCCTCTTCCCCAAGGTGGTTACTGAAACTAGAATCCCTTTTTCTTCAAAGCCAGCCATAAAACCTAAAAACCTTACTGTAACTTTTCGCCCTCCTTTCTGTGTAAAACCTAGCCATAAAAACGTGTATGTCTTATGTTGTTTGGCTGTAGATCATAAGACCCTCCCTCATTACAGAGAGGGTCCTCTAGAATGAGGAAGGAATACTCAGAAGGAAAGAATCTTGCCAGAGGCCAAGAAGAATCTAGACACAGAGGCCTTGCTATGTTTCCCCAGTCTATTAGCATTAGACGACACCCTTTTTATCCAATCACAGTTCTACATGGCAGTTGGTACTTTGTTGAACCCTAAGCATTAAAATGGACAATTTCCCCTGTACCTTTGAGCCTTCATTGTGAAGGTTCCCATGTCACATAAACCTATGATGAATTTTGACTTTTCTATTAATCTGCCTTTTTTCCATTGATTTTCAGTGAACTTTCGGAGGGTGAAGAAGTTTTGCTCACCCCTACATACTTGTATTTTTCACTCATTTTCAAAAAGATTATTTTGAATAAATATTTCAAATCCTCCTATTTATTCAGATCCCCTTCTCAGTCAAGCCACTTTCATACAGGGAGGTATTTTGGCTTTCTCTACAAATAAGAAATTGTGTGATGTAGCCGTGGTTCTCAAAAAATTAAACTCCTGCTTATAACTAGAAACACATCACAGGCTACATCCTTTTTTGGGGGGGAGGGAGGCAAATAATAATGTAAAATATAATAAAATATTAACTAATAAGCAGAATATAAACAAAGAAGATTAAGAGGTATTATAATCATGAGGTATTTATGGTATTTGGTCCCACTGCAAACTTGTTCAAGAGTTTATGACTTGTTTTGTGCTATGTATTCTGGAGATTCTGGAAATCTATAGAAGCCTTCTCAAAACCACGCTTTAAAAAAATACTTAAACGGGGTAAGAAAGGTAGTGACACTAAAATTTTTTTTCTTAAAGTCTGTATATATGCTTTAGTTACACATCAAAAAATAAGATCTAGCAGCAAGTATAATGTTGGCTTGAAAGGTTCACAATTAGTGTAAATTATTTCAAGATACCTGTAATAAGTACAAAGTGATATGAAAAATCTATGATTATCATTGATGTGAAATCCAGTGATTAGCTGCCTGTACTCACAAAGGAAATAACCAAATTGCATTTAGGATTTGTAAAAATATAATTTTTTTCCCATCTAGAGTCCCATAAACATCTGTAGAAATTAGATTTTGTCGAGATTTCTCAGTACAAATTAAGTGGGCTTTTCTAAAATCAAAAGCAAAACAAAAAAAAAATAACTTCAACCTCCCAAATACAATGGAAACAGTAGTACGTCCAAGTCAACCCAACTTCCTACAGCCCATTTCTTTGTCCTGGTAACCCCAATTTCAGGCTTCTTGCTCCATTCTCCAAGGTTTTTCATTTATTTTTCCTTCTCTATTTCTTATCTAATCACCAAATATGTATTGGATAGCTAACTCTAGCTCCCTGGTTCATCTCAATCTGTGAGAAAGCAATTTGGGAAAGGAAGTAGATTATAAACTGACAGAGGTTCCTTTCATACTATCTTTAAGCATCAGGGTGGGAGCAATACTTATGGAGATTTACGCAGAATGACAAGGTGAGTAGTCTCCAAAAAGAGAATTCCATTTGGAGAATTCCATCTGAGGGGGAGGGGGGAAAAAACCAGACTTTTCGACTAGGTCCCAGCATACCCAACTTTTAATATCACAACCTGATAGGTGAAAATTTTTGGCTCGGAAAAACCACGCAAATAAAAATCTAACAATACGTTCTGATTGGTTAATTCAGCAGGCTCTGCAAACCAATAGAAAAGCAAGTTTTACAAAACTGAGTCAGAGACTATGATGACTTCTCCCTCCGATTGGTTTAACACTAGAATTGCATTTTTTTTCTAAAGTTACCTGGACGCGGGAAGCAAGACCAAACTCGCTCCAAACGCAAGACCTGCTTTGCCACGCGGGCCTTCTCCGCAAAGACAATTACTCCGAGCAGGTTGGGCCAGCACGCCAGTGTTACCTGGCGGCAGTGCAAGAAGGTTAAGAGTAGGTAAAAATAAATGAACAAGCAAGAGAGCCTCTGGGAAAATAAGTCCTGGAGACGCTGGTCACTGACAGAAAAAGAATGGCCACACTTTTTGAGACAGGCTCCCTCTATCGCCCAGGCTGGAGTGCAGTGGAGCGATCTCGGCTCACTACAACTTCAGCCTCCCAGGTTCAAGTGATACTTCGGCCTCAGCCCCCCCTTCCCCCCAAGTAGCTGGAATTACAGGCGCGCGGCACTACGCCTAATTTTTATATTTTGTTTAGTAGAGAGAGGGTTTCACCATGTTTTTCAGGCTGGCCTCGAACTCCTGACCTCGTGATGCGGCCGCCTCGCCCTCTCAAAATGCTGGGATTACAGGGGAGCCGCCTCGCCAGGCAGTGCAGGCCCACACTGCCTATTTCCAAGTACGGTACCTGACGACCCATATCCCAGAGCTAAGGGCTTTCACAAGCCTTGTAAAAGACAGACAGCGGGCGCCACCTGCAGTTGGCCATTTTCAACGCTGGACAAGATGGTGGGCCGCAGGAACCTTAGGCATGCCAGGTACTGCTCACAACCAGGACAGGCTGTGCTCAAGAAGTCACCTCAATGCTAAAGCAAACTAAAGCATTTACACCATATCCCTGTGCCAGGAATAAAATTTTTTCAGAGCCACTTTTAAGCGCACGCTTTGAGAGAAATCAGCCGGCCAATCACACACCACCGCGGGAATTTGAAGAAAAAGCAAAACCTGGTGGTTCAAGTAGCCTTAGCTACTCCGGTGGCTGTGGCTGAGGCGCAAGGATTCTTGCTCCCAGACTGCTGGGAGCTGAGTTACTGAACCCCAACCGGCATGGCTGGGATAGACCGCGCCCGCACACCACACCCGCAGCCTCCCTGGCCCCGCAAAAAAGGCGCCAAGCTCTTTTGACTGAGACCTATGGGTGGCTCTGAAAAGAGCCGTTTAAATTTTCAAAGCGGAACGTCCCGCCAGTTTCACTTTTTCTTCGGAGCTGCCTTCTTTGCCTTTGTAACCTTCGGCTTCGCCGACTTAGGCTTGGCTGCCTTGGGCTTAGGGACTTTGGCCTTAGCTGGACTCTTGGCGGCTTTTTTTGGCTGGGGTGTTTTCACCTTTTTCGCACTCTTGGCCACTTTCTTGGTCCCAGCAGCTGTTGCTGGCTTCTTTGCCTTCCTAGGAGTCTTTTTGACGCTTTTCTTCGGGGTAGCGGCGCCACTCGCTTTCTTGGGCTTCTTGGCTGCTGCAGCGGGCTTTCTAGGCTTGGCTGAGCCAGCCTTCTTGGCCTTGGGTTTGCCTTCCCCGGAAGCGGCTTTCTTGTTCAGTTTAAAGGATCCAGAAGCACCGGTGCCTTTGGTCTGCACCAGAGTACCCTTGCTCACCAAGCTCTTGAGGCCAAGCTTGATACGGCTGTTGTTTTTCTCTACATCGTAGCCAGCAGCCGCAAGCGCTTTCTTAAGCGCGGCCAGAGAAACGCCGCTGCGCTCTTTGGAAGCTGCCACTGCCTTGGTGATGAGCTCAGACACTGGGGGTCCGGATGCTTTGCGTTTCCCAGCAGTAGCGCCTGCCTTCTTCGCCTTTTTCTTCACCGGTATTTTTTCTGCGGGTGCAGGAGTGATAGGAGCAACTGGAGCAGTCTCCGACATGTTTTTGTTTTGCCAGAAAAGACAAAAGTAATCTCAAACTGTCAGAACGGCGTGTTCTCTGCGCCGGAGGCTGAGGGTTTATATAGAGAGACGCTGAGTGATGATTGGTTCCTTGCTCCATGCGCGGAGCTGCTGGAAAAGGACTCCTCCGATCTACCGCGCTGCTGTGTTTGTTGCCCCTTAAAAAAGAGTAAAAATATAAGAAATCTGGGCAGGAAATAATGAGGAATTTGGGGGAAACTGATGCGAGAGACTTCGGGCTTCATTCCTGCCTTTTTTCCTATGCATAGTTTTAAAAGCGGCATCTTGAAACTTTTCTTATTCCCCCAACTCTCTTTCAAACTTCGGTCAAATCGAGACAACTTTCAGGTTTTCCTTAAAAATAATATTTCTCCCTCCTTCATTTGCAAATGTCTCTTCCAGGGCATTGTTCTGTGAATTCTTATCGTCTCAAATTTATATAGATAAACTCATTTTTATTCAAATGTGTAGGGAAATTGGTGTTTTTCGCAGGAGCAATAGCACAGGCTCTCTGGCGAGTTGTTTGCATCAACCTCTAGGAATTGGCACTGAGGTAGAAAGTTCTATGTATAAGAGGGGTGATTATTTTAGAAAAGATAGTTTTAAAAAATAATATTTGAGTTATCAGTGTGTGAGTTGGATTTGATCTCTGTATTTCAGTGGTTTAAACATTTCCAGAAAGATAAGCGTGAGGCGACATCATTCCTCTTATAGAAAAAAAATCCTAAGTAGAGTCACCAACCTTCTCTTAAAAGTTAGGATCATGGATTTTTCCGACCTAGAATGGGCATTAAAGATCAACTACCACATCTCCAAAAAAGAAAACTGAACCAACAAATAACAGAATGGCAGGCCAACATCATTTTGCCAACTATGAGCATTGAGAGCTTGTGTACATGTTCGTGTCCCATCACTTTATAAATAATTTAATGAAAGACACTATTTTTTTGCTAATATTCCTCATAGAATTTTGTACATTTTTTATATTTTGAAATCATATAATACAAATTTCACTTCCTCTATATACAAACTGAATAACTGGTAAGAATCACTTTAAAAAAATAAACTTTCAACATTGCAAGTGTGGGCATCAAGGGTTAGAAAGAAAACAATCTTATTTAAATCACTTTCTAAATTTTCATCATTCTCCTTGGCTTTTTACACGCAAAATATGAACTAAGCTGTCACACCCTAAATTAACAGGTTGAATATGTCCACCTAAGGAGCTAAACAAATATTTCAGAGCAAACATGAGTAACTTCACTATTCCTTATCATTCCTTATATGTTAGTTTGCAATACAGCTGATGGAATTAGGTTATTATTGGATATTTAAGCACATTAATATTCTCCATCAAATAATCAGATGCTGAAATGAACTCCTATGTTTGTTAAAGAAACAAGAGAAGTAGTTTCATCTTATGTTTCCTCTAACAAAACTACTCATTTCAAAAAATCAAGTTATTCTGGCCTACACTCAATAGTGATTAGAAGACTTTTTCATATAAACCCTAGATAAAATAATCAACTTTAAAGATGTCATCTTTCCTCATTCAACAAATTTCATAAAAAATTACTTAGCTTGTCTTGGCCAGATGCAGTGGCTGTCTCACACCTGTAATCCCAGCACTTTGCGAGGCCAAGGTGGGCAGACTACCTGAGGTTCAGGAGTTCAAGACCAGCCTAACCAACATGGTAAAACCTTGTCTCTACTAAAAATACAAAAATTAGCTGGGCATGGCAGCACACACCTGTAATCCCAGCTACTTGGGAGGCTGAGGTAGGAGAATAGCTTGAACTCAGGAGGCGGAGGTTGCAGTGAGCCAAGATAGCACCATTGCACTCCAGCCTAGGCAACAAGAGTGAAACTCCTTCTCAAAAAAAAAATTACTAAGCTTGTATTAAGTAATTATTTACTCTCTTGCACGTATTGAAAACAAGTCTCTGGGACTTAAGACCGTGTTATATACCACAAAAATACAAATATGGTTTATAAAAGAGCTAAACTTACAGAATTGGATTAGTAGCACCCCATAATTCCAGTAGGGAAGTATTTTATAGGTTTCTGGAGGCAGGGACAGTGCATCTTCATGGGTATCATTATTAACAGTGATAGTCACAAACATAATATAAATATTTCTTTTTTGGGACCATAGCTTTATATTGCCTAGACGTAAAGATACAACTAAAATTCTGATTGTTTACTGTTTATTATTTTGATTGTTATTGTAGTCTTAATACTTGTTGGATAATTGTTGGAATTGTTCACCCTGTTAGATATAGTCAATTAACAGATGCCACCATTTCATTCTTGTGCAACACTGACTGGTTCCCACGGCTACTTAGGGTCTCAATAAGTAAAAAGGCATTGGGTTAACTAATCTCTGCCCTTTCTGGAGAGCAATAACTGAGACTCAGTTTCACTAACAAATTTCGCCAGATGTTCAAAGAGAAAAGGAACTGGGCTACATAATTTGGGACCTAGGTACTTATCTTCTCTGTAATTGCAGCATGGACAAGGTTCCTGAAAGCTGGATCACCCCATGGACTGTAAACTTGAAGTCCTGCAAAGTTTCACCTATTACGTTGGTAGTCCTCAAAAAGAGTTCTGTGTTGCTTTGGAATCCTAAATCTGAATATATTCTAAAACAGTAGATTTCCCATTACACTGAGGTTGGAACCATGTATTTTATAGATGCAAAAAGTAGCTAGGAAAAACTAGTTAGATAAATGATAGCTGTCTAACTTATGGCTCAGTGTTCTCTTCATTTTGTGTTAACTCCCCTATCCCCACCACCACCACAGTAAATGACTGTGAGAGTTGTAGGTAGTATTCACTAGATTAATTCAGTGAGACAGTGCTTAAGCATCACACAATTCAGATTTTAAAGATTATCAACAAAAAAAGAAAATATGTAGAATAAATATTAAAATGGGTGAAAGCATATATAGACTATTACAGAAAGTAAGGCTTTGTGTTAGAATTGAATGTGTTCAGAAGGTCCATGAGAAATCACATCGATTATAACCGTCCTTGAAATTCCTCTTCAGGTACAACAGTATTGTATTAATTTTATTTCCTAAAAAGGCCACTACTACACTCAAACTTACAATTTTCTTTTTACATGTCTCAGGCATCCACCAAACTCCGTGTTCCCTTCTAGACTGAATTAGAAGCTCTTCAGAAAAAACCCTCTTATCATAGATACAGCCCAATAGAACTTTCTGCAATGATAAAAATGTTCTGTATTGACACTGTCCAATAGGTAGCCACTACCCATATGTGGCTATTGAGCACCTTAATGTGGCTAGAGTAAGTGTACAAATTAGTTTTTAATTTAAAATAATTTAAATAAAAATGAGCACATGTTGCTAGTGGCCAATATAGGACAGCAGAGCTTTAAAACAATTATTCTCAAACTTGGAAGAGCATACCCACTACCCAATTAGAAATCTCATTAAAAATGCAATATCAATTCCATTGAATTGGGGTTGATCCCGAAATTCTGTATGTCTAACAAGCTTCAGAGTGATGCCAGTAAAGCTGGGATATGGCCACTCCACCCTTAAATACTCAACAGTAAGTAGAAGTATGCTGGTCTGATATCTGCCCCCTAACCCTGAGTTTACTTTTCCCTTTACTAAACTTTTGAATTCTTTAAGGGAATAAATGTGATTACTTTTGTAAACCTGGTATTTGTACACCATTCTTGGCATGTAGTGAACATTAAATTGTTGAGTGAATGAATGATGCTTGTTTGGTGCCTACCTCAAAAAGGAGAGCATTTGAGATCCTTGTGTCTATTCCTACAGATAACTGAACCTAAGCCAAACTTTAAGTAGACTCTTAACTGCACAAAATGAATAATCTTCTCACTGCCTTTAGGCACCAGCAGAGAAGGAATTTTTAAGTTGCCCCTGCAGTATATAGGAGGCAATGAATGTGAAGGAGTAGAATGTAAGAGTTCATGTTGAATCTTTCTACTACACATACCCTATGTCTGTAGAACATTTCTTCAGGAATCTTTTATTAGGACAGTATTTCACAGAATTTATTAGTATTATTTTTGTTAATTTACAAATCTTTATTCACCATGATTTACCATGTACGCTTTAGTGGCATAAAAGCACTAGTAGGTAGCAAGGTAATGAGACTCCAGAATCAAGCCAACAATACAATACCATTTATTAGAGGATAATGTCTTCAAGCCTGGGGTTCCTTATCGTTAGGCCTCAGACATTGCATTCAACATTGAAAAAGTAAGAATGAAACTTCACTTAATATTGGTTTCCCTTACTAGAGGTCTTTCTTTATTAGGAATGCCGAAAACGATGTGAATGTATACGTACGTCTCTGCCAAACGCTAAATCCCATGATTGGCCAAATTTAAGAAGTATTGCTACATTTTAAGAATCAATAAAAATGGCCGGCCGTGGTGGCTCACGCCGGTAATCCCAGCACTTTGTGAGGCCAAGGCAGGTGGATCACCTGAGGTCAGGAGTTCAAGACGACCCTGGACAATATGGTGAAACCCTGTCTTTAATGAGAAAATACAAAAATTACCTGGGTGTGGCGATGCATGCCTGTAATCCCAGCTACTTGTGAGGCTGAGGCATGAGAATCGCTTGAACCCAGAAGGCGGAGATTGCAGTGAGCTGAGATAGCACCACTGTACTCCAGCCTGGGCAACAGAGCAAGACCCCTCTCAAAAAAAAATTAGTAAAAATACATTTTTAAAGAATCTTCACATTTATAAATTAAGGCCAGGCACAGTGGCTCATGCCTGTAATCCAAGCACTTTGGGAGACCAAGAGAGGTCCCCTGATCACCTGAGATCAGGAGTTCGAGACCAGCCTGGTCAACATGGCGAAACCCCATCTCTCCTAAAAATACAAAAATTAGCCAGGCGTGGTGATGCGCGCCCGTAGTAACAGCTAATCCAGAGGCTGAGGCAGGAGAATCGCTTGAACCCAAGAGGCGGAGGTTGCAGTGAACCGAGATCACGCCACTGCACTCCAGTCTGGGCGACAGAGCGATACTGTTTCAAAATAAATAATAATTTTATTCTCTTGTCTATCCATTTGGTAGACAAGTGTAGCGTTACTGCCTCCTTTTTGCAAATGATAAGGCTTTTAAGAGACAGATATTATCAGTTCTTCGAGAGCCCACAAAAACTGGGCTAGAGGACACAAAAACCTACACTCAAGACCCAAACAAGGAAAAGGGAAGGAGTCGAATCAAGTTGCATTTCCCCTACCCTCACCGCCCCATTTCCTTCCCAAGGCAATAGCGTAGGGGACGCCCAGTAAGGTACGGAAAAGGCGGAGACAGAGGTTTCGTTCCCGCCCCTCGAATTCAGTCTCCAAAAAGGTCCGCATAATTGATATATAAGGGGCTTCAGTGAGTAGCAAAGTTGCCGAGATAAGAGTTGGTGTTCATCTCCGATAATGTCTGGTAGAGGCAAAGGTGGTAAAGGTTTGGGAAAGGGAGGCGCCAAGCGCCACCGTAAAGTGTTGCGTGATAACATCCAGGGCATCACGAAACCCGCCATCCGTCGCTTGGCCCGACGCGGCGGCGTGAAACGCATCTCGGGCCTCATTTATGAGGAGACCCGAGGTGTGCTTAAGGTGTTTCTGGAGAATGTGATCCGGGATGCTGTAACCTACACGGAGCACGCCAAGCGTAAGACAGTCACCGCCATGGATGTGGTCTACGCGCTCAAGCGTCAGGGTCGCACTCTGTACGGCTTTGGTGGCTGATCCTCATGCCGGCTTTATTTAACAGCTTACCCATAAAAGGCCCTTTTCAGGGCCACCTCCATCGTCACACGAAGGGCTGTAACTGATTACAGCGAAGATACAGGCGATTTGTGTTCCGTTTTATAAACTTTATTGGGTTGTAGCTGAGTTAAAAACAGCCGTTTTCAGCGATACTCCCAAAATGGCGGATGTGTTAAAAACAAAAAGCGAAAGAACATCGGAAACTTGTTAAGATATTTCGGTCTCAAACCTCCTCGGAAAAAAATAGTGGAAATGATTCAGGAATACGTGTGGTGTTTTATTACTAGTTTTCTAAAATTTAACTATTCCTATATTAGATGGCTACGACTTTACACTAAGCATTACATTTTTTGAAACGGAGTTGCTCTTATCCAGGCTCCAGTGCAATGGCGCAATCTCGGCTCACCGCAACCACCCCCGGGTTTAAGTGATTTTCCTGCCAACCTCCAGAGTAGCAGGGATTACAGGCATGCACCACCACGGCCGGCTAATTTTGTATTTTTAGATGTCTACTGTGTAAACACTATGTCATACTTTTTACGTGTTGGTCAGGCTGGTCTGGAACTCCCGACCTCAGGTGATCCGTCCGCCTTGGCCTCCCTAAAGTGCAGGGATTAGAGGCGTGAGTCACCGTGCCCGGCCTAAGTGTTATTATTTATTAGCCATAGAACCTGAATGATCTTAGGGCGGCTGTGGACAGATCAATTACTGGTAAACTTAAAAATCCATTACTTGTGTCCAGTCGCGATGCCTCAGGCCTGCAATCACAGCACCTAGGGAGACAAAGGCGGGCGGATTACTAGAGTTCAGGGGTTCGAGACTAGGCTGGGCAAACAAAATGGTGAAATTCCGACTCCACTAAAAAATGTTAAATAGGAAAGTTAGCACGGCGTGGTGGCGGACGCCCGCGGTCGCAGCTAATCTGCAAGGGCTGGGGCAGGATAATCGTTTGAGCAGGGGAGGCGGAGATTTAAGTGAGCTGAGACGGCGCCACTGCACTCCAGCCTGGGCAACAGAGATCATGTCTTTAAAAAAAAAAAAAAAAAAAAAAAAAAACAAGTTTGCCGGTGCTCGGTGGCTCATGTCTGTAATCCCATCTGTAATCCCAGCACTTTGGGAGGCCGAGGCGGGTGGATCACTTGACCTCAAGGAGTTCGAGACCAGCCGGGCCAGCACTGCAAAACTCCATCTCTACTACAAATACAAAAATTAGCCAGACGGGGACGTGGTGGCGCGCACCTGTAGTCCCAGCTACTCTGGCGGCTGAGGCAGGAGAATCGCTTGAACCTGGGAGACTGAGGTTGCATTGAGCCGACCTCGCGCCACTGCACTCTAGGCTTAGAGCACAGAGCAAGGCTCTGTCTCAAAAAGAAAAAAAAAAAAAAAAAGCCTAAGTTTTTGTCTTACCCAGTGAATTCTTTGCTGTGGCACTTACTGTGATTTCAGGTCATTGATCTCAAGTACTGGTAATTTATAACCTAAAGTGTTTCTCCTTGTGCTTTGTCAACCTACGGTGTTATCTCCTGTGATCCTGCCTCCTAACATTTTCATTTTTTCACCACACCGAAGAAGTGGCTTCTCATTTGTTTTTTTGTTTTTTTGTTTTTTTGTCAACGGTCAATCTACTGTGTAAACACTATGTCATACTTTATAGGGATACAGAAAATTATGAAAATGATTATGGCAATTGCAGAAATGTTGTTTGACAACTCCTGCCCTCAGGTGATCCGCCCGCCTCAGCCTCCCAAAATGCTGGGATTACAGCCATGAGCCACCTCACCAGCCAGTTGCTAAACGAATTCTTATTGCCACACACTGTTTTTTACAGACAAAATAATAATACCCTGGTAAAGCACACCAAAGGATTTTAAAACATTGCCTTTGAAACACCAATACATTCAGTGTATGTTCACTTATATTAAGCACTATACAATTAAACAATGAAGAATTGCCCAGAAAAAAATAATGTAAATTGCCAGAGGTTCCATGCCCTGTTCTTCTTATGTGGACAGAAGGTACAAGGGTTGACTGTCTTCTGGGGTTGGTACAACAGGAAACTCAGGGGAAACTGCCATAAATGTTAATAGGAGAAAAAGGGAATTTGCGCACAAGCCAAAATACAGACTAAGCACCACTTTTTTCATCATACAAAATATTTGCTGAGCTAGTTAAATAAGAGCATTTAAGTGGAAATAAATGATGTGTCTAAAATAGAATGTTCAAAATAATAGTGGATTTTTTATTGTGCAGTTAGGATGCACCAAACACACAGTCCTAAAGATCATGGGTGTTTGAAGCAGAGTCAGCAATATCTAAGAAATCATGTACCTGCATAAATGAATTACGGCCTAATGAGCACATCACCACAACAAAAAGTCAAGAGTGCAAACAACTATTTGTGGGGAAAACAAACAAACAAACTTGATAAACCATGGAATTCCAAGCAATAAAAGTAGCAATCCCATCACAGCCTATTTCTGCATTATTTTGAAATAACTAGATTTTTTTTTTTTTTTTTTTTGAGGCAGAGTCTCACTCTGTCGCCCAGGCTGGAGTGCAGTGGCACGATCTCGGCTCATTGCAACCTCCACCTCCCAGGTTCAAGCGATTCTCCTGCCTCAGCCTCCCTAGTCGCTGGGATTACAGTGGCCTGCTACTACGTCTGGCTAATTTTGTATTTATAGTAGAGACTGGTTTTCGCCATGTTGGCCAGGCTGATTAAATAACTAGAATAACAAGAAATTGAGCTGGGCACAGTGGATTACGGTGCTGTAATCCCAACACTTTGGGAGGCCAAGGCGGTCAGATCACCTGAGGTCAGGAGTTCCAGACCAACCATAGCCAACATGGTGAAACCCTTGTTTCCACTAAAACTACAAAATTAGCCGGGTGTGGTGGCACACACCTGTGATCCCAGCTACTTGGGAGGCTGAGGCAGGAGAATCGCTTGAACCCGGGAGGTGGAGGTTGCAGTGAGCCGGGATCCCGCATCGCGCCACCGCACTCCATCCTGGGTGACAAGAGCGAATCTGTCTCAAAAAAAAAAAAAAAGTTGCAGTAATATTTCCCTGAACCCAGTTTTCCCTGGGCATAGTGTACACCTGCACCCTGGGGTTTTAATTGGAAGACTCCCGTGCCACGTAAAGTTTGTATTATATTAACTTGTATCCGTTTCTCCTGTTGATGTCTCAAATGAACTCTCAGGGCAAGCCCAAAAAAATAAGATAATGATTTAACTCCCTATGCTGTCACAAATAAAGCTTTCGTACACTTTTGTCCACAAGTTGTTTCCTTTTTCCCTGTAGTTTTGGTTTTGCCTCAGCACACAGCCGTTTTCTTTTTTGTTTTGAGTTTCGCTGTAACCCATGCTGGAGTGCAGTGGCGCGATCTCGACTTACTGCAACCTCTGCTTCCCGGATTCAAGCGATTCTCCTGCCTCAGCCCCCGGTATAGCTGGGACTGCAGGAGGGCGCCACCACGCCCGTAGTTTTGTTTTTTGGTTTTGCACTTTTAGTGAAGACGGGGGTTTCACCATGTTAGCCAGGCTAGTCTCGAATTCCTGATCTTTGTGTAAGTTATTCGCCCGCCTCGGGCTACCAGTGCTGGGATTACAGGCCTGAGCCGCCGCTCTGGGCCATTTTGAAGACAATGGCCAAGAGAAAAAAGGCTAGAAGAGCCACTGGCCCTCCCCCTATCCCCTAACCCACTACGCTCCTTGTTTCAGGAGACGTTACTTCCTAGTGCTACCACGCTTTCAACTGAAACTGTTGGTGGCTCTGAAAAGAGCCTTTGGTTTAAGTTGGCACACACCCTTAGTACAACTTATGCCCTCTCTCCGCGAATGCGGCGAGCTAGCTGGATGTCCTTAGGCATGATAGTCACTCGCTTGGCGTGGATGGCACACAGGTTGGTGTCCTCAAAGAGCCCCACCAAGTAAGCCTCGCAGGCCTCCTGCAGCGCCATCACCGCCGAGCTCTGGAAGCGCAGATCGGTCTTGAAGTCCTGCGCGATCTCACGTACCAGACGCTGGAATGGCAGCTTGCGAATCAGTAGCTCAGTCGATTTCTGATAGCGGCGTATTTCACGGAGGGCGACGGTGCCAGGTCGGTAGCGGTGGGGCTTCTTCACGCCACCGGTGGCCGGCGCGCTCTTGCGAGCCGCCTTAGTGGCCAGCTGTTTGCGTGGCGCTTTGCCACCAGTGGACTTACGAGCCGTTTGCTTCGTACGGGCCATAGGAATGGGTTTCAAGCAACGGTCACAACGGAACCAGCAGTTGTTCTTACTCCTATTTATAAAGGCAAAGTCCTTCTGATTGGTCCGAATCTTCCAGTTTCGCGCCCTGACTTGTGATCGGCTACTAGGTCTCATTTTAGAAAACCTTAACCTATCTAAATACTTTTTTTCCCCTAGTTCCTTACATTTTATTATGTTTTATGTGCCTACCTGTATTATGTACCTTCATTGATTTTATTTTAATCACTTTCGGATTATGTTTGACAGACGGAAATGAACTTTCTGCAGTTCCGGAGCGATTTCAAAAATTCCGCGTTTGAAAGTGATTGGTGCAGCTCAATTTGTCCTTTATATTTTTAAAAAAAATTCTTACTTTGAAGAAATATTTTTAATATAAGTACTCTATTCCTTATATTCTGAAACTTTCAACAAACACTGGTTTCACTTCCAGACACTCCGTTCCTAGGGAATATATTAAAATCCCATCGCTCTTGAAATGTGTTCATCCTTTGATTACCGAAAAAGCTTAAATTTTTTGTAAGAATGCTGACGACCTTTATCAGATTATAAAAGAAAGACGGTGGTATAATTCTGGAAACACGTAAATCTTTAGGTAATTTCCATTTTAAAATTAGTTATTCATAGATAATTTTAAATCCGGAAGCTGCAATTTGGTAGGAAACTAGAAACATAATATCCGTCTTTGTTTCTGTTTAAATTCGCACCTAAGGAGACATAACTTATAGCTAGATGTTACTGACAAGGCATTCATTTTTCTAATGTTTTGAATGAAAAACTACGTT